TTGCTGCCGAATTCTACGAAGGGGACAGCCTTTCCAGTGAACCTGTTACAGTACGTATCCCACCTGGTGGTGAGGTTATATCTCCTTTCTGTTACCTCTCCTTTGATCGTTTTAATTCTAACATACACAGACCCCTTTGAGATCACTCACAATCAGAGGCATGAAACTTCGCAAATTTACTTCATGACTTTTTATTATTGTGTTATAAGCAGTTACTACCACCGTCGCAGTTAGCAATTGATCACCATGCCGCCGCAAAAGATCAGCAAAAACGTCTTGATAGTCACTGGAGTCCGTCCTACACGATACAAAAGCCAGAGAAAGTAAATCGCCAATGGACTGGAAGAAACGAGAAATTTCACCGTGAACTCCTCTTACCCAGGGTCCCCTCAATACTTTCAAATGAATTTTCGAGTTTTTATGAGAATGTTATCCCTTATACTTTTTTGAAATCAAGTGGACGCAATTTTAGTGCAGGCTCAATCCAATGGAGAAGGTAGCAAGTCATGAATTCTCCATCCTGACCCGAAACAGCTGTTTTCTTGGGTGCCTCTACGATTTTGTAAGGCAGTGTGTCACTGCAAAAAGAATAGTGATGTGTCGATTTTGATGAATAGCAAAATGGGAACCGGATCATTTTCAGAGAGAAGAGTCCTGGGAATTCCTACATGCACGTGGTGTGTGTATAAATGCCTAGGATCCCTGTTTCTAAAAAGTGCGTTGAACACGAGATAAACACTGCACCAAAAAAGGCTAGTGGCGGAATTTGAGCGGTATGATGAAAAGGCGTCCCTTCAAAAGCGGCCCTAAATAACATACTTGATTACGCGCTTACGATAGTTTTGAACTTGCGCGTTATCATTTTAAGAGCTCTACAGTACACACATACAGTAGTGGCCAGAAATTTATGAACAAACGGTTTTTTCATGATTTCTCTTTTGAAAGTCACTGGAACGTCTCCAAATTTGCAACAATTATTAACTACGTGTTTTATGATCCACACAGAAAATTTCAACCTTCAGCTCAAATTTGGGTTTAGAAAATTTTAGATTTTTCGAAATTAATGAAGGCAGGTGAAAGATCACTTGATCCGTTTATTTGATTTAAATAATGTATAACCCAACAGAACAGTCAAGTAAACAGTCACTAACATTAAGCAAGTCTAGCACATTGCCCAGAACTCTCTAAAGTATTGGATGCATAAACTGGATTTGAATGCGGGGTCAACTAATGAACTCGCTCTCAAAAGGGGTCTCTCTGTAGTCCCGTCTTTTCGTGGCACTTCTACTGAGATACACATCTGTAGGTCCTCCCCTAGTGGTTCTGTAATATTTGGCTCAAG